CCCGCAGGCTCAGGCAATCCACTCACCTCAGCCTCCCAAAGTGCTGGGATTACAGGCTGAGCCACCGAGCCCGGCTATGCCTTATTTATAAGAGAAAAAATAAATACATTTCCACTAGACAAGCCTGGTGGAAACCATCTTAACCAAGTGGTTAAACTTAACATTACCAGTTGCAAGGCAAGGTGACATCATGCCCTCCTGAAATGACACACTGAGATAGATATATCACCGCTTCTATGGTATTCCTCTCAAACACTTGATCCAAATATGATACAAGAAAACGTCAGACAATCCCACATCAAGGACATTCTACAAAAAAAAAAACTGGTCTGTGCTTGTCATGGTTAAGGTCATGAAAGACTGAGAAACCTGCCCAGATTAAAGAAGAATAGAGAAGCATGACAACTAAATACAGTGAGTGATCCTGGATTGAGTCTTAGACTGGGGGAAAAAATACTATAAATAAGGTCACCATCAGGACAAAAGATGAAGTCTGAACATAAAGTGTGGATTGAATGTATTACTTTAAAGTGCCCTAATTTCGACCATTGTACTGTGTTTAGGCAAGAAAATACCCTTACCTAATACATGAAGTATTCAGAGATAAAGGCATATAACAGAAAAAAGTTGACAAATGGTAAATCTGGGTAAAGCCATAGGAGAGTTTTAAAAATATTTATTGCAACTTTTATGTACATTTGAAATTAAGAATAACCCAAAGAAAAAAAAAACAAGGATGAAACTGCTTTCACAGTCCAGGATAATCTATTCCAAAGCTAGAATTTGATCTATACTTTTAAATTATTGGCATTACTAACATGAGTAACTTTCACAAAGTTAAAAATAACCAGTTTGCATTCACTGAACATCCATTTAGAAGCCTATGGCCTTGATGACTTCAGAGGTACACTTCACTTTAGTATTTCCTCCAGCTATAGAAAACATCAAGTTATCATCTGCTTTCATCTTTTTTTCCTGTTGTTTTACACTATTCTCAAAACACAGAAAAAAGACACAGAACCAACATTTAAAACACATGGAATCCCGAGCATACATTCAACAGGACTTTACATATTAGATGACATGCATGCTAAAAGCTACTACCGCATTACGAGGATACAAAAAAAAGAATGCACTAAGATCTGTGTTGTCATTTATTCATGCAATTTACTTTTATAACTGTATATGCAGGAAAACTTTTCTACTTTGTAAAAATAAGGAATGGGCTCTGGAAAAAAAATGCTGACAAGCAAGTAGTAAATTGAAGGTTAAAATATCTGGATGAAGGAAAAGTTTGGGATGAGACTACATTTTAGAACCATCGAAAAGTACCTGAAATGGTTGCTGCTGGGATGAAAAAGCAGCAGAAACCTTTGGCGGAAGCTGGGTTGCTATAGCAACGGGAGTCCCAGTCTGCCCATCCTTTCCTGTCACAACCTTTACCTGAGAGGAAATATTTTGAGAAAAAAAGGCAACATAATTTTTAAGACTGCTCAAGATTCTGTTAGAAGTTTACTGCTGCTAGCTCACCGATGTTGGGTGTTTCAAATTGGAATGTTTTTGCATCAAATCCTATAAAAGGATACTGAACTAACAGAGATGTGTAACATAACCCAACTCAACTGCAAATCTTACAGGAACTGTAATTTAGGCCTAAGTGCAATTATCCTTAGACTCTGCAACTTTAAATTTTTAAAATGGAAATGGCAGACAGACTTCATGTAACAAAGCCCTAAAAACTTTTGTTTTTTTGGAGTTGGAGTCTCACTCTGTCACCCAGGCTGTAGGACAATGGTACACTCATGGCCACTGCAGCCTCAACCTGCTGGGTTCAGAAGAGCCTTCTGCCTCAGCCTTCCAAGTAGTTGGAACCACACCCAGCTAATTTTTTTATTTATTGTAGAAACAAGTCTCGCCAAGTTGCCCAGGCTGATCTTGAACCCCTGGACTCAGGCAATCCTCTCGCCTCTGCCTCCCAAAGTGCTGGGATTACAGGCGTGAGCCACCACGCCCAGCATGCCTAAAAACTTTACAAGCAATTGGCAAAATAGCCACTCTGTTATATATAGGTTCAGAATGGCAAAGGTCTACTTCAGGAGAAAGTTATAAAAAATAATTTTTTCTTTATAAGCACAGATAAAGGGGACTAAGCTTACAGACAACATTGGTGTACAAGACAATAGAGGTGAAATCCTCAAAATAATCATATAAACCTTTTGAAAAATAAAAAAGGCCTATCCTGGAAAGGGTGTTAAAGAAAACACAACATGGCAAAGCCACACAAACACATCCATAAAAATTGTCAGAACTGCTTGAGCAAAGAGACTAGCTTTTGCTCACCAAAAGCCGATTTCTTTGCAGAAGAGCTGATAAAGATTTAAATTATTTTATCTATCTCATAAATCAAAATGAGCTTCACCAACACAGTGTACACTACACAAGACAAAGGCACAAAATACAGTGCATTACGGTACAATTCACTCTCACCTCGTTGTTAGAAGTACAAACAAAAGGGTCTTAGGAATCACAATGGTCTTGAGACATCTCAGTTGGGGAATTTACTATGTACCCATTCCAGGCACCCAAAAAGTATATTATCTAAAAAAGGTTCTACTAGAAATATCACTAAATAGGTATTCGCAAAAGCAAGTTTAAAGTATGACCCAAATCTAAAACTACATCTAAAAATTGAAGAAATTCTCAAAAGTAGCTTTTTGATATAAATCTTTTAATTATGAAGATCTCATATAAACATATCTAGTAATTTATAATTATGGCTGGTATACTATAAAACTCTGGTGACTCTCATCCCTATTTGAAGCCCACGTTGATGGTGTTTTCTTTTTTTTTTGAGTTGGAGTCTCACTCTGTCATCCAGACTGGAGTGCAGTGGCCGCTCCCGGCCACCACAGCCTCGACCTGCTGGGCTCCGGCGATCCTTCCGCCTCAGCCTTCCAAGTAGCTGGAACTACAGGCGCGCACTACCACGCCCGGCTGATTTTTGACTTACTGTAGAGATGAGGTCTCGCCAAGTTGCCCAGACGGGTCTCAAACCCGCGGGCTCAGACAATCCACTCATCTCAGCCTCCCAAGGCACGGGATTACAGGCTGAGCCACCGGGCCCGGCTTGATGGTGTTTTAATGGAAAGACCTGTGTAAGTAATACGTGAAGTTTGAAAACCAGCCAGAAAGTGCTAAGCCTCATACATCTGGCTTCCCCCACTGCAGCAGGGCTGGTGACACCTGCCAGCATCAGCCACTACCTACAAGGGGAAAACAGTGGATCACGTTAGCTGAATTCTCTGCACCTGAGATGACTCCTTGGCTCCCCATGAAAACATTCGGTGTTGAGGCAGCACTAATCACAGCACCACCATGCACCTTCCTCTCGACACACTGCTGTGCTCAACAGCTCTTCTTTTTCACGGAGAAAGCAAAATCCACTCTTCAGTTTTACTCATGGATCAAATCCTTATGAAACCAAAATGTTACATACTCCAGGCTCCTAAGTTATTCTTGAATTCACGACTACACAGACGCTAATCTGTTTCATGTACATCTTTTAGAGTATCTTTTAAAGTACTGTTAAAGCACTGTTTCTTACCTCATCATTGATAACCTCTGATTTCTCTTCCTCCTCTTCCTCTTCTTCCTCCTCTTCTTCAATGTCCAGATCATTCTGTCTAAGATATGCCTGTAACGGGGCATAATGCTTCTTCTTGAAAGCTAAGAAATCCATCATGTTCCCTTGAAAATGTTGCAAGAAAAAGAGCTCAATCAAATATTCCCTGAAGACCTCCTTCAGCGCCTCCATTTCTTTGTAGTGATAGTCCAGGCACTGCTTCCTCATCTGTGCCATCTCCTGGGAAGCTGGGGGGATCTCCTCCAACTTCCTGGGAGCCTTCTTCATGGCTGTGCTCCCCACAGAAGGGAGGGGAAGGCTGGAAAGGCCTGGGGTCACGGTGGTCCTGGAAGGACTGGTGGGCGGGGGCGGGGACGTCATCCCAAACGCCGATGTCCCCCCGGCCCCGGGGAGCAGCATGCTGGGAGTCCTCTCAAAGCCCAGGGGTCGGGTCAGCGGCTGCCCCTGCAGCACCTGCTGCTGCTGGATCAGCTGGCCCTGGATAATGCTGCTGATCTGGGGTGGCAGGCTCGCGGTGGTGATGTGGCTCGGGCTGGCCAGGGGCTGCAGGCCGGTCCCACCTGCGGCTGCAGGGCTCTGAGGGCCCAGGTGGTGGATGGTGCCTCCCGCCTGGGCATGAGACTGGGAGAGCCTCCGCTCGCGGACTGCGAGGGGTGCACCCGCATGCTGGAGCTGAACCTGGGCTCCCTGGGCGATCTGGGTGAGTCCAGACCCATCCTGAAACACAAAGTGTCCGCCACTCGACGGGCTCAGACTGATCTGTCTCACCAGTACACTAGCGTCCACAAACCCTCCCGTGGGGCTGCTGCCACAGATGCCCAGCCCAGGGCCAGGGCCACCTGCACGCACACTCTGCAGGGTCTGCCCCGGCCCAGGGCTGGGTTGCGTGGGACTCTGGGTCTGAACCTGCTGGGACAGCGGCGACGTCACTTGAATGTACGATGGGGACCCATGCTCAAACCGCCGTGGCTGAGCACCAAACTGGAAGCCCGGAGAGGTGGGGCTGGGGAGCGGCAGAGGGGCCAGCGTGATCTGCTGGCTTCCTCCCACAACGGGGCCGACGTTCTGCAGGGTGATGTTCACATTCTGCCCAGCCGCGGGGCTCCTGCTCATCAGCTGCTGGATCTGGTAGCTGGGGGACTGGGGTGCAGACGGGCTTGCTGAGGGGGCGAAGGGTGTGGCTGGGGAGGGAGGCAGGGTTGGGTGGGCCGGCTGCTCATCCCCCTCGCTGCCAGTGAAGGACCTGGACCTCTGCAGCTGGTGCTGGACATTCTGGGGGCCGCTGCCATGGTGCATGGTCACCACCTCTCACCCGACAAAGCGTCTCCTGGAAATCAAAGAGAGAACCAAATGACTCCAAGGTGGCCACAGCACAGGAATTCCACTCAGTGGCACTGAAAAGATGATCAGAAGGGTGTTCCCACAGGCATCGGATTCAAATGACAGAAGACTCAACGAAGTACAGAGGTGACCCTGACCACCTCCTCCTGTGCAGGCAGGAAGTGTGTCCTCAGCCACTGCTGTGCCCGGGGCCCAGACACGGCCCAGTGGGAGTGGGTGGGGGATCCAAACCAGCCACTGGGGTCAGCACCCAGCATCGCTGAGGACGGCAGCTAACCTGCATGGGAGACTGGCAAGACCACCCATGAGGTAGGCCTGATCCTACCCCACTCAAGGATGGGGACTGAGTCATGGTGCGTCTGTGAGCTGCCCGAGGTCACACAGCCAGCAGGCAGAAAGTAGGATCTGAACCCAGAACACTTGCTCTGTAGCAGAAGACCCATTTCCTGCTGAGCTGGTCATTCCTTCTGATGCCTCAGCAGCAGAGCTGTCTGTCAGCTTCTCACTGTGGAGGGACAGCCTCCGCCCAGCAGGCACACAGTGAGTACTGGTGAATGAAGGGTGCAGCACCACCTCACCAGAAACAGGCACCCAACCCTCCCCAGCCAGCAGTTCTTTTCAACTTCCAGGCTACCTCAGTTGCAAACACTGGCCAGGCACAGTGGCTCACACCTGTAATCCCAGCACTTTGGGAGGTCGAGGCAGGAGGAATGCTTGAACCCAGGAGTTTGAGACCAGCCCAATACAGTGAGATCTCGTCTCTACAAAAATCAAAAAAATTTGCCAGGCATGGTGGCGCACACCTGTAGTCCCAGCGACTCAGGAGGCTGAGGTAGGAAGATCGCCTGCACCCAGGAGTTTGAGGTTGCCATGAGCCATGATCATGCCACTGCATTCCAGTCTGGATGACAAAGTGAGACCTTGATTCAAAAAATATATAAATAAAAATGTTAAAAACTGCAAATATTTCCCTTGTAAATTCAGTTCAAAAACACTGAGCCCCAGCCGGGCTCGGTGGCTCAGCCTGTAATCCCGCGCCCTTGGGAGTCTAAGGTGAGTGGATTGCCTAAGCCCGTGGGTTCGAGACCCGCCTGGGCAGCGAGACCTCATCTCTACAATAAATCAAAAAATCAGCTGGGTGTGGTAGCGCATGCCTGTAATTCCGGCTAATCTGAAGGCTGAGGCGGAAGGATCGCCGGAGCCCAGCAGGTCGAGGCTGCAGTGGCCGGGAGCGGCCGCTGCACTCCAGTCTGGGCAACAGGGTGAGACTCCAACTCAAAAAAAAAAAAAAAAAAACTGAGCCCCAATTGTGAGTCAGATCTTGTGCTCCTGGAGGACAGCAGAGACAGACGGGTAAGATGATCCTATGCCAGGAGCTGGGATAAACATGAAAGGAAGTCAGGCAAGGTGGCTCAGCCTGTAATCCCAGCACTTTGGGAGGCAGAGGCAAGAGGACTGCCTGAACCCAGGGGTCCAAGACCAGACTGGGCAACTTGGTGAGACCTCGACTCTACAATAAATCACAAAATTTAGCCAGGTGTGGTGGCAAGTATCTGTAGTTCCAGCTACTTGGAAGCCTGAGGCAGAAGCCCAGCAGGTAGAGAGGCTATGGTGGCTGTGGGTGTGCCATTGCACTCCAGCCTGTGCGACAAGAGTGAGACTCTTACTCAAAAAAAAAAAAAAAAAAAAAAAAAAAAGGAAGGAAGTCTGGAGCAGAAGGCAGGGAATGGCCTGAGACCTCAAAGTCTCCCATGAGAACACATCAAGAGCAACAACTTCAAGAAAGGGAGAGAGAAAGGGAATGGCCAGGGCCTGGCTCTTATTCCCTCTGAATCCTCTCCAGGGGTCTGTAAACTCTCTGAAAGGCTGTGCCACGGCTTCCAACAGACCAGAGGTCAAACACTGCTTAGCACAAGTAGACAAGACACAGTGGTGGGACTGAGAAGGGGTCGCCGAGGAACATCAGCTTCCAAGACAGGATGTCCCAAGGATGGAGTGGGCCAGGGCAACCCTGAGGAGAGAGGGGTCAGACCGGGGCCATGGCTCCAACACTTGCAGGGGCTGGTCTGGAGGCAAGCACTGGCCACCATCACTGCAGCCCCTCAACCTGTCCACTCTCCTAAGAAAAGCACTGGTGCTGGTGCATGAAGAGGGGCAACTGGCACTCAGCTCGGTGCCAGGATTCGAGAGGAGAGATGGGGTCACCATGCCATGGAGAGTGGCAGCTGCTGCTCGAGTTCAGCTAATTTCCGTCATAAGGAGAAAACCCCATTCATGTTTCAAGAGAAGCAGATGGAAAACACTGAATCCTGGGGCATAACTTAGCACTGAGCCAGCAGGTGGGAAGCTACACCACCAACGTTCCAATTCACCAAGTCACACTGCAGAGCCAGCCTGACCTGGGTACCATCATTTAGACTTCTCAAGTCCTACCGGACACACCCCACTGCCCCTGTTCTCTTGGGGTTTTTCCACTCCCAGCCTAGCTGGACAGTGATTGAAGAGCCTCTTCTTGCACCCCTAAGACAAACAGGAGCCCTTTTCATCTTAAGGGCATCACTGGTTACTGCTAAGAAAATGGACAAGGGATTTAAAAAAAAAAACAAAAAACATGAACCTACATAAGTTATAAAATTTACAGGCCCAGGTCCCTGGTTGAAATACACATAAGAGCCGGGCTCGGTAGCTCAGCCTGTAATCCCGTGCCTTGGGAGGCTGAGGTGAGTGGATCGCCTAAGCCTGCGGGTTCGAGACCCGCTTGGGCAACTTGGTGAGACCTCATCTCTACAATAAATCAAAAAATTAGCCTGGTGTGGTAGCGCGCGCCTGTGGTTCCAGCTACTTGGAAGGCTGAGGCAGAAGGATCGCTGGAGCCCAACAGGTCGAGGCTGCGGTGGCCAGGAGCGGCCACTGCACTCCAGTTTGGGCAATGGAGTGAGACTCTAACTCAACAAACAAACAAACAAGAAATACATATATAAGTGAAATAAAAAACTACAGAACGTATGAATGCATACATATATTCCTAACAACCATCAAAAATAAATGCATATGTAAACTAGCAGGAAAAAGGCATGCTCCAATCAGATGACCAGATTCAGCAGATGAACAAGCTGCAGAAACATATCTTAAAGGGGAAAAGAGACAAGAGAGAAACAGCTTTGCGGGTGCTGGGGCTCACACCTGTCATCCCAGCACTTTGGGAGGCGGAGGTGAGAAGATTACCTGAGCCCAGGGGTTCAAGACCAGCCTGGACAACTAGGCGAGACCTTGTCTCTACAATAAATTAAATAATTAGCCGGGCATGGTGTGCATGTAGTTCCAGCTACTCGGAAGGCTGAGACGGAAGGATTGCCTGAGCCCAGCAGGTCAAGGTTGTAGTGGTCATGAACATGTCACTGCACTCCAGTCTGGGGAACAGAAACGAGACTCCGACACACACACACACACACACACAAAAGATCCACTGAAACTTATCAATATATTAATTCTGATCTTCACCTGATGAGCCCCACAACAGAACACAACTCAGTGACACCAAGGAACCAACTACTGACATACCCGATAACATGAATAAGTCTCGGCACCAGACGGTACCAAGCCAGACTCAGGACTACGTACTGCATGGGTCGCTGGCACAGCATTCTGGAAAAGGCAAGTGTGGGGACGAAGATGAGAACAGCTTGACAAGGTCTGAAGGTGGAGAAGCTGCCCAAGAAAAAGTGTAGGAAATCTTGGGGTGAGAAACTGTTTCTATCGCCTGATTTGTGATGACAATTACAAGACACAACATGTTTATCCAAAATTCTCAGAACTGCACAGTAGAAGGCAAATCATACCTCAATTTTTTAAAAAATGGTTCCTAATCTCAGTGACCTTATCATCAAGTTACAGAAACAAACACAATCAATTATAATGTAAAGAAACTGCCTATCTAAATCATGGCACAGGTACCCCAATGGACAGCAATGCTACCAACAAAGGCTAAACAACTTCTAAGTTTTTAATGACTATATTTTTAATTTCAACTGAATTTTTTTTTTTTGAGTTGGAGTCTCACTCTGTCACCCAGACTGGAGTGCAGTGGCCGCTCCCGGCCACGGCAGCCTCGACCTGCTGGGCTCCAGCGATCCTTCCACCTCAGCCTTCCAAGTAGCCGGAATTACAGGCATGTGCTACCACGCCCGGCTGATTTTTTTAATTTATTGTAGAGATGAGGTCTTGCTGCCCAGGCAGGTCTCGAACCCACGGGCTCAGGCAATCCACTCACCTCAGCCTCCCAAAGGCGCAGGACTACAGGCTGAGCCACCGAACCCGGCTTCAACTGAATTTTTAACTCTCCTAGTTTTAATTCTTTTTTTTTTGAGTCGGAGTCTCATTCTGTCACCCAGGCTGGAGTGTAGTACCTACCTTCCAAGTAGCTGGAACTACAGGTATGTGCCACCACGCCCAGCTAATTTTTCTTGTTTTATTGTACAGATGAGGTCTCACCAAGTTGCCCAGGCTGGTCTTGAACACCTGGGCTCAGGCAATCCTCTCACCTCAGCTTCCCAAAGTGCTGGGACTATAGGCTTGAGCCACCGCACCCGGCCCTAATTTTAATTCTTAATTCAATTTTCTACAGAGATGCTGATACATACACACACACATATACTTGAAATGCATCAAAAACTTTATAAAAGGTATGTGGATGGATGGGCGCAGTGGCTCACGCCTGTAATCCCAGCACTTTGGGTGGCAGAGGCGAGAGGGATCTATTTGTGCCTGAGAGAAACATTCAAAAAAGGTGAAGAAGTGCTTCATCAAACACCAAGTAATAAAGTTGCAAGTCCCCAACTCATCATTCAGCTGTTTCTTAACCCTTTGTACTTGGAGACATTTCACAGATCCCCTACCAGCAACTCAACCACACTTTTCTACAAAATAATGAAAAACAAATCACCTCGTATTAAATAGTACAGCACTGGAACCAATTATGTATTGTAATATTTGACTTATAATGGAATTTTGGACATTGAGGAACTTATTTATGACAAGAAAATCAAAATGTTATATCTTACATTTTTCTACCATGTGGCAGTCACTGACATGCATTGCAGGTTTACTGACACATGTTGGGCAATAAGAATTTGTTTGACATCTTCCACTTCGTGTTTTTCCACTCAAGCAGACGATGCAGTCTCTCCTTTTCTTCCTTCCACATTAATAATATGTAATTTATTGTCCGGTCTGTTGTTCAAAGATGTGGAAGAACACACTCGTGATTCCTGAAAACCACTTCTCAACTGATCGATCATCATCTCAGTATCTATTCCATCTCTCTGCTTTTTCGTGCAATTTAAACAGAAAACTTGAGGGAAACACACATTTTTTAAAAAGTGGGCCAGGCATGGTGGCTCAAGCCTGTAATCCCAGCACTTTGGGAGGCCGAGGCCAGAGGATTGCCTGAGTCTAGGATTTCAGATCAGCCTGGGCAACTTGGTGAGACTTCGTCTCTACAATAAATCAAAAAAATTACCTGGGCGTGGTGGCACATGCCTGTAGTTCCAGCTACTTGGAAAGCTGAGGTGGAAGGATCACCTGAGCCCAGCAAGTCAAGGCTGCAGTGGCCATGAGTGTGCCATTACACTGCAGCCTGCGTGACAAAATGAGACTCTGACTCAAAAAAAAAGAGAAGAGAAAAGTGTGCATTTGCCTAAGTTTGTCTTGTATAATCGCCAGAAATTTCTTTACGTCCCTTGAAAGAGGCCATGAGAGTAGTTTGCTAGATTTATGATGTCCCCTCAGAGGGGACATTCCAAGCGCAGAGGGCTGTCTTTTTTTTTCCATTGCCCCCTAAGAAACAT